GATTATGCATGGGAAAGAGCAGGTAAAGAAAGAGGTACTTTTCTCCCTTTCTCACAATACAAGAACTCGTGGGCACTCCATGAAACTGCAGAGCGGTCGGGTTAGAACGGATAAAAGGAAGTACTTCTTCACCCAAAGAGTGATTAACACTTGGAATTCACTGCCACAGGAAGTGGTGGGTGCTACAAGCATGGATGGCTTCAAAAGGGAATTAGATAAGCATATGGAGCAGAGGTCCATCAGTGGCTATTAGCCACAAGGTATAGCTAGGGGCTCTGGGGCAAGTGATGCTCTGTCTTCTTGTTGCTTGGGGGGGTCAACAGTGGGAGGGCTTCTAATGTCCTGGCCCCACTGCTGGACCTCCTGATGGCACTGGTATTTCTGGCCACTGTGTGACACAGAGTGTTGGACTGGATGGGCCTTTGGCCTGATCCAACATTGGCGTCTCTTATGTTCTTATGTTCTTAAGTCACCCGGCTTCGTTCGAAGGCCGATGCTCTGTCGGCTGTCCAACCCACTCCCTGGCTCTGAGCCATGTGATGCCGCGTCAGTTCACATCTAGGCCCACTGCCTTCCCCACCTGCTCCCACATTCTCCTTTCCTTGTGCCCAAGGGGTCCACTAGCCCTCAGACAGGAGGCAGAGGAAGAAGAAGAGGAAGAAGAAGAGGAGGAAGAGGAGACTGGATTTATACCCCACTCTACACGGAGTCTCATAGTGGCTTACAATCGCCTTCCCTTCCTCTCCCCACAACACACACCCTGTGAGGTAGGTGGGGCTGAGAGAGCTCTGAGAGAAACTGCTCTTGAGAGAACTGTGACTGACCCAAGGTCACCCAGCCGGCAGCATGTGGAGGAGTGGGGAGCAACGCTCTCTCTAAGCTGTGGAGTCCTGTGAGCGAAAATTCTACTTGGTGAGCTACTGGCACTAAAGTTGTGAGTGAGCGATTTGGCTACTGCATAAATTAGTCTGCTCTGGAGCCCTCCTTCCCGAACTAAGACAACAATATGTGAGCTGGAGGCTAAAAAACTGGGAGCTGGCTCACACTAACTCGGCTTAGAGGGAACACTGGTGGGTAGTTCTCCAAATTAGAATCTGCCGCTCTTCACCACTACGCCACACTGGCTCTCAGTCTGGTGCAGTGAATGTGTGGTGGGATTAACTGAATCCAGTGCTCTGCCTCTGCACCCAGTCTCAGAATAGGCAAAGCAACTCTGCTGCAAGCAGGAGCCCAAAGAGAGGGGCCGTGGCTCAGTGGCAGAGCCTCTGCTCAGCATGCAGAAGGTCCCGGGTTCAAGCCCCGGCATCTCCGGTTGAAAGGGCCAGGCAGGAGGGGATGGGAAAGACCTTGGCCTGAGACCCTGGAAAGCTGTAAAGAGGGGCTGTGGCTCAGTGGAAGAGCCTCTGCTTGGCATGCAGAAGGTCTCAGGTTCAATCCCCGGCTTCTCCAGTTAAAAAGGACCAGGCAGGAGGGGATGGGAAAGACCTTGGCCTGAGACCCTGGAAAGCTGTAAAGAGGGGCTGTGGCTCAGTGGAAGAGCCTCTGCTTGGCATGCAGAAGGTCTCAGGTTCAATCCCCGGCTTCTCCAGTTAAAAAGGACCAGGCAGGAGGGGATGGGAAAGACCTTGGCCTGAGACCCTGGAAAGCTGTAAAGAGGGGCTGTGGCTCAGTGGAAGAGCCTCTGCTTGGCATGCAGAAGGTCTCAGGTTCAATCCCCGGCTTCTCCAGTTAAAAAGGACCAGGCAGGAGGTGATGGGAAAGACCTCCGCCTGAGACCCTGGAGAGATGCTGCTAGCCTGAGTTGGCAATACTGACCATGCTGGACAGATGTTCTGATTCAGTTGAACACAGCTGCATGCGTTCAAGTGTTCCCCTCCCTCCTGGGAACCTGGAAACAGGCCCTGCCCCAATGGGAGTCTGGCGTGGGGGCAGGGGGGGATATACGGCCTCTAGGGAGGGAAGCCAGGCCACCCAACCCCCCAGCCTGGCAACTGAGTCAGGCCCTGTTGGCAAGGACTGGCAAGGGGTCCCGGGGCTACCTCTGCCAGGGTCTCACAGGAGGGCCAGCGCCTCGTTCCCGCAGTCTGCAAAATGGGGACAGGGAAGTAGGAGCCCCTGAAGAATGAGGCCTGCCAAATAGAACCGCTGTAGAAACAACAAATGGAAAATGCAGGAAGAGAGGCAGCAGGTGGGGGCCTGCGAAAAGGCGGAGCCCCCCCGTTTTTAAGGGGGACTATACAGAGGGCTCCAATCGGGGTGGGAGTGGGGTGGCAGAGGAACAGGGAAACTCATCAGGAAGTCTCCCGCCGAGGGCGAGGGATCGGCATCGGCCTGCCCAGAAATGCCCGGAAGGGTAGTCTGCTGTGGTGCCCAGACTGAAGCAACTGGTAATTTCCCCTCTGGGGGACCTCCGGGGGAAGTGACTGATGGGGTGAGCGAAACTTGGGGGGAATTTCCTGTATGTAGAGGCCAGCCTAGGACAAGAGAATCTGGGAAAGAGGAAGGGGGGGGAGAGAAGCAACAAAAAAGGTTGTGGGGTGTGGGGGTTTTTTGAGAAAGCTCCTTGGAGGTCTTCAGGAGGCGCTGCTGGCCTGGCCCGGGCTTTCTGGGGAGGGGGGGGCTTGATCTGGCAGGGGTCTTTTAAGGGGGGAGGGGGGAGATTTGGGGTCGACTGTCTTGTTCCTTTGGTTTTCTCTGCGGATCTTTCTAACCCTGACCGAAGAGGAACGGCAGGATGTCATTGTTTGAATAAAGAAATAACAAGTCAGTCCGAACTGTACAGCAAACAAATACAGGGAGGAGAAGAATAAATAAAGGAGGAGGGAAGCTCAGGGAAGACACACAAGCCAGGACGGGGGCAGGGGACACACACGCAAGGGGGAAGTGTGCAAATTGTGGCGGGAGGCGCAGGAAGAGAGACCGGGGCTAGTGAGACAGAGGAAGGAAGGAAGGAAAAGGAAGACAGAGGTCCAAAGGAGAGCTTCTCTGATACCTTTGGCCCACGAGCTCCTTCCCAGCCCACCTTTGGCCCTTACCTGTGTGGTGGAATCTGTGCTGGTCCTTCCTGGCGCCCTCTCGCTCTCGCTCGCTCTCCAAGTGGGAGTGGGCACCTCCTCTGCTCCGCTCCAGGCCCAGGGGGCGGGGTGTCTGTGGCCCCGCCTCCCCTCCCCTCCTTGGCAGCCGCTCACCTGGGCGGGCCAGGTAGGAGGAGAGGCAGACAGGCGGAGCCGCTTCCCTTTCCCAGGGCACCCTATTAAAATCATTACTGACCAACCTGATTGCCGCAGTTTCTGCCCACCAGGCTGGGCATGGCCGGGAAGACTGCGCCGCCAGCCTCCAGGTTGTGGCCTGGAGCTCCTCCTGGAATGACAACGGATCCCCAGACCAATTTTATTTATTCATTTATAGTCCGCCTTTCTCACTTGGGACTCAAGGTGGAGGAGGAGGAGGAGGAGAGGAGATTGGATTTATACCCTGCCCTTCACTACCCAAAGGAGTCTCAGAGCAGCTTACAAACTCCTTTCCCTTCCCCTCCCGGGTCGGTGTGGCTGAGAGAGCTCTTGACAGAAACTGCTCTTTTTCAAGGACAGCTCTTGTCAGAACTATGGCTTCCCCAAGGTCATCCAGCAGCTGCAAGTGGAGGAGTGGGGAATCAAACCCGGTTCTCCCAGATTAGAGTCCGCGCACTTAACCACGACACCAGGAGGAGGAGGAGATTGGATTTACACCCCGCCCTTCACTACCCAAAGGTGTCTCAGAGCACCTCACAAACTCCTTTCCCTTCCCCTCCCCACAACAGACACCCTGTGAGGTAGGCGGGGCTGAGAGAGCTCTTGAAAGAAACTGCTCTTTTTCAAGGACAGCTCTTATCAGAGCTACGGCTTGCCCAGGGTCATCCAGCCAGGTGCAACTGGAGGAG